GAAGAGATTGAATTAGGATCCAGAAGATCAAATAATATAAAAGTTCTTATTTACATCGCCTAATTTGTTTATATTTCAAGAAGATAATATTTTGATAATTAAAATGTTGATCATAAGCCAGTATAAACCCAGCTCAGAGACTAAAATGCTATTTTTCCTTTCCTCCAAAGTATACTAGGTAGAAATGAAAAGGACAATGTTTATAATGCACCGAATGATCCAGGAAAAATAAATACCATATTCATTGTGTATGTTTTATCTATCTGACAGCCGCAGTCAACCTTCCATATCCTTTGTTTCCATATCTGCAGACTGAACCAATTACGGATCAAAACTCAAACATAGCAGGGTGAGAGGTGCAGTGAAATGGTCAGAACAATTGCTCAAAGGCTGAGGGAATTTATTTACATAGTGTTTACATTGTAATGGGTTTCATAAGTACTGTGTAGATGATTTCAAGTATATCGGAAAATGTGAGTAGTGAGTTTGCAATGACTGCTCTATATTCTATGCAGATTTTGGTATATCCCCCCCAACCTCCAGTGAATCTTGGAACCAGTCTTCAGAGGACCCCCAGGCACAACCATCTAGCTTTGGATCACATTAATTTAACAGCCTTTGCAGGCACACCTCATTTGTTGTCTTAATGACATCTCGTCAGCAGGAGGGAAGCAGTATTGATTCATTAAATGAATAGATTGACACATTCAGTATAAATCTCAACCTTCAACTTATTTTTCAATGCTTATACATGTTCATGTTGAGAAGGAAGATGGAGCTAAAGATACCTTTAAGAATTTATAGTCTGAGATTAACTTAGGACATAGATTTTGAATGAAATAATTCATCTTGGTACAGGATCATTGTACATGGTTGTATTGCTGTACTCAGGATAGAGCAGGATTCAGACCTATTGTACATAGGGTCAGTATGAATTGCAGGTGACTTGATGGCACATAACAACAAAAGTAAAACAATTGAGCTACTGTAGTAACACCAAGTTTGAAAAACTTAGGTTAAATCTGATAAGTACAGAATCTATGTGCTCAATACTGAAAATCACCAATAAAACAAAACAAAAAGAAATAGACTATGTTCATGGACTAAGAAGCATAGTATTATTAACATGTCAGTTGGCCCTATGGATTCAATGAAGTTTAATACAAAATCTTGGATTTTTTTTTTTTTTTTTTTTGATAGAGAGCAAATGTCAAAGTTTTTCAAGTAAGGAATTCCAGTAGCAGGGACCATTTTTAAAGAATAGAAAATGTGATCTCAAGACTTATCAGAAAGTCTCAGTAATAAATATAGTTGATGTTGGTGAAATACAACCTCTCACAGGGCAACTTAAGAAAATTGTGGTGAAACAATTGAACATGTAAAAAAATAAATGTCTTTGAGCTATACTCTGTAGATAAAACTTAACTGCGTATGAATCACTGAAATAAATGCAAAACCTAAAATAGAAAACTATTAGAAGGAGAAAATCTTTGTCTTTGAGCAGGCATAGCATTCTTGATATATCTTGTGTCTTGGATAGACACAAAGACCAGATTAAGAATAGACAGACAGATAGATAGATAGATAGATAGATAGATAGATAGATAGATAGATAGATAGATAGAGTGGCAGGCTTTTCCTGCCAAAAGTTGGAATCAACCAAAATGCCCTTCCACTGGGTAATGATGAATAGCAAAATAGTGTTCTTTTACAGAATAGTACAGCAGAGAGGAGTGATGTCTCAGAACAACACTGACCTAAATTAGTCTGACATATATTATACTAAATGGAGAAGGGGGAGGGGGAAGAGCTTCAAAAGGCAAAATTATAGGGGAAAAAACAGATCACTTTGCCTGGGATGGAGATTATGTGCCTGGGAAGTTTTTTTATGATGGAATTGTTCTTGAGTTTGTGTAGTCTTATTTCATGCTAAGTCAGAAGTGTCTTTTTAGTATAGTTGGTAGGTAAATCATTGAAAATATGTTGTTGTTGTTCTTGTTGTTGTTGTTGTTGTTATTATGTGCTGTCAAGTCACCTGTGGCCCATAGCGACCCTATGTACAGCAGCCCTAAAGCCTGCCCTGTCCTGAGCCATTCTCACTGATTCCAGCACACTAACCTTCCTTGCCCCAGTTACTGTGCCAATCCATCTCATTCGGGGTCTTACTCCCCTGTGTGTCCTTCCACCCTTCCAAGCTTGATGTCCTTCTCCAAGGACTGATTCCTCCTGGTCCCATGGCCAAAGTAGGTGAGACAGAGGATCATAATCCCAGCCTCCAAGAAGAAACTTGGTTTCACCTTTATGACAGACTTACTTGTTTGGTGGTACAGTACATTCAAGATTGAAAATATTGGGGGTCGATTTGTGGAGGAAGTCGTTAAGGAGCTTTCCATGGGTGATACAGAAACAAAATTTCAATAGAAGTGTAATTTATATCAAGAAGGAAAGATGAAAGAGAATGGAATTACTAGAGAATGGAAACTCACCTTATCTGTCCCAGATAATGTTGCACTTAAACCTAGTTTGTAGTAATTTTTTTGGAACGGGGATAAATAACAGCGTGTACTAATTTCTTATTCCCTCCTGCTAATCCTTTGTAGTAGTGTCCTTCCCATCGCTCCTCCTGGGAGCCAGGGGCATGTTTTCCATCACTGTATATAGTCTTTGAGACTGTTGTATAAGTGGAATTAATTACTCTGTCATCTTTGGAATCAGTCCATTTTTTTGCATGTGATAAGGTTTAATTTAAGAAGAAAAAACTAAGTTATATGTAATGTCTGTTACTGGAGAAGTATGTATATGTCATTTTTAATTTTGTAATGTATTCAGATTTTTGTTTAAAGTTCAAAACTCTCCTGGTTTTGTCTTCATTTCAGGTGACTTTGCAGTTCTGCTTAAAGCAGGCATGACTGTAAAACAAGCGATTGTGTACAATCTCCTCTCTGCGATGATGGCTTACATAGGCATGCTGATCGGCACCGCTGTTGGGCAGTACGCCAACAACATCACACTTTGGATCTTTGCCATAACAGCTGGCATGTTCCTCTATGTGGCCTTGGTGGATATGGTAAGATAGTTTCTTATTTTTTGTGTGTGTGTTTGTGTGAATTAAGCCTGTAAACAGTATCTTTTCACAAAATGGAAAAGATACTTGGAAGTCAATCTGTATTAAACCTTATAACCCATTTTAAAAATAAATGATCTATGAAATAATTTATCAAGAAGAGACATTTAATTGAGACTTTTTTCTCCATTAAAATATTGAAACTTTCTGACCATGTGATTTTAATGTTCAAAATCATCAATTCAAGATACAATTATAAAATTATATAGTGCTTTGGAGATTATGCAGTGGAAGTGGTAATAAAAGAATTGTTAAAGATTTCTTTAGGGGGGAAAAAAAAGAAACACTGAACCTGCTAGAAAAGCCATTCATGAGAAAGACATGATGTATTTGCAAGGATTTCTCTCGTTTTTCTTATCTTTAGCTGAACATTAAGAACTCAATAACCAATAATTACCTTTTAATAGAATTTTAATATCCTGTGTGCTAAACAGTATATTTATAAAACTCCCAGAAATTTGGATAATTTTTGGTAATGATATTTTCAAATAGATACTGCTTTCACTTTCCTCTTGTAGGCGCTATCACTCTCATTTCAAAATTATAAAACCTAAAATTTAATCATGAAAGTAATGCCTATTCATTAGAGAATGTTTAGAAGAAAAATAAAAAAAAACATTTCTGTGCTAGTGGCCTAGTGTTAAGTAGTTGTGCTGCCAGCTCCAAGGCAGATAGTTCAAATACACCAGCTGCTCCACAGGAGAAAGACGAACAGTCTCCATGCAGTTTACGGCCTTAGGAAACCCCTGAAATGTCAGCTAGGAGTCAGTTCCAACTTGGTGTTCTGTAACAGTAACAACTAGTTAGTAGCCATTTCCTCCTCCTTGGCTTCAGATTTTCTATCCTCATGCTCAGCTGATAACCTTGCTTCCTGTTTCATGGCGCACTCTCCTTTCATGAGTTCCCGTCACCGTGTCAGTTTACCTGCTGTATTTATACCTGTTCCGCAAAGCCTGTGTGCCCAGCTAAACACAGCTCTTGTCCTTTTATAAATATTAATCTCTTTTACAACCATTGTCCTGATGCCAGGCGGAAGCAGCCATATCGATAGTGTGGAAATGATTAGGTTTCAGTCTCTGGTGTAGTTTTCTAAGGACTTTACTTGATCAAGTGATTAAATGGAAAGTTCAGACTGGAATAATGGCCTCATAATCTTTTAATCAGTCGCTATGCACCATTTTCATAGACTTTTAAGCCATGTATGATCAGATTGCTAAAAGCTTTTACACATTTGACCCTCAGAAAATAATTGAATATACTGCAACCCTACCAAAGCTAGTTTGATTAATTGTACTTTTTCTTTAATAAATTTAATAATAATATTTCTTCCTAGGCAAGGATTATGGAATTGACACAACTTTTCTCCTTCTAAATAGAAATGTACTTAAGAAACCAAACGAAAACTTAGTGTTTCATGGAACAGCGAGTCGCCGCCCTTTTTCTGGACATGGAGTGCGCACCTGATTTTTGTAGAAACATGAACGTGCAAATTGAAATGGCAGTTCTTGCACAATTTCGATTAGAATTGGGTGGAAGAATTTATGTTTATAATAATGCAAATTTATCTCATTTGTAATACATTTTAATTTGGATTATTAAATTTGTATAGGTTTTTTCCCCATTTTACTCTGACTTATTTACAAGGTTTGAATACCTTGTTTTTCACAAAAGATCCTTCTCATTTCCTTCACCCCATCCACCCATCAAATTGTGCAACCCTACTGTATCGTTTTAATCAATGGATTATACTTACGACTTCTGTTACTGTGTATTACTGAACATTGTACGTTCATGACCCAGTATTTTAAGTGTTGATTTCCTCTATGCAGCCCATAATTCCACCTCTTTTTTCTCTCCCCAGAGATAATAACTATCCTGAATATTACCTTACTATTCACAAAAAATTTTTTGTACGGCAGGTCTAGTGGTAACAAACTTCTTCAGCTTTTGCTTATCTAAGAGTGTCTTAATTTTACCTTCCTTTAGTTTTTTTAAAAGCTTTCTATTATGATTTAGTTTTACAGAGCAGAGTGGCATTCCATTACACCATTCATGCATACTTTGTTTTAGGATATTGGTTAAAATTCTCTTTATATCATCCCTTTTCCGCTGTTGATTCTCTTGATTTAAGTGTATGTGTTATACCATAGAGACGGATCTGACACAAAGCTGACCCTCCATTTGGTTTTCAGAGGCAGCTAATCGCACAGGAGGAGATTGTCCATCTGTCTCCTATGGAGCAGCTGGTGGCCTTGAACTGCGTGCCTTTAGGATTACAGTGAAGCTTCTTTCTGGGCCACCAGAGTAGTAGTGCTAATGTTGTAGGAGTTTCTCATTAATTTTTCAAATATTTTGAGCTTTATCAAAATTAAGAGAATACACTGTGAGAATAGACCCACAGCATGACTTGGTCCTAGTTGTTACATACCCAGGTTGGAGCTGACTCAGAGCTTACTCTTCAGTAGTTTTCAGAGGCTGTAAATCACACAGGAGGAGATAGCCGTCTTTCTCCTGTGAAACATCTGGTGGATTTGAACTGCCTGCCTTCGGGTTGGCAGTGCAACTCCTTACCACTCCTCCACCAGAGCTTTTTTTTTTTTTTGGTAATAATTTATACTATTTTCTGTTCTGCAAGGAAAATAATGATTTAAAATCACAGAGATAACTATTTGGAATTGCCTCTAAATTTCTATTCCAGCTATCATAAACAGTTGCAAGTAATGATTTGGAACTGGAAAAGAATGTATAAACCAGTTTTTAAATATTTCCAAATTTCTCAGAAAGCACTTAATATCTATCAATGAATATGGGAATTGTGGAACTCTTAGTGTTTTATTGACAATAAGAAGTTGTGTTACACAACTTATAACAAGTATAACAACAGAATTAAGGTCAGTGGCATTGCATTGATTATAAAGTGAGTTATATGTAATATATGTATGTGTGTGTTATTTCATGTGTTTGTTGGCAAGCAGGTAGGGAATAGATTCTGTCTTTGTTGCATATATAGACAGAGTAAATATCTTTCTCTGAGTTTGACTAAAATATGTCTTACAGTTAGTTCTGATCAATAAAACCATTATGTTATTTGTACTTAAGATTTTGGTCGTTTTCTTAAGTAGGAGGATGTAAAAATATTCATGGAGGAAGATCGTACAAGGTTGCTTCTTCCTTATCTGTTTCTTATTTCAGCTTCCAGAAATGCTGCATGGTGATGGTGACAATGAAGAGCATGGCTTTTGTCCTGTGGGGCAGTTCGTTCTGCAGAACTTAGGATTGCTCTTTGGGTTTGCCATCATGCTGGTGATTGCCCTCTATGAAGACAAAATTGTGTTTGACATCCAGTTCTGACCAGTCCCGGTAATCGCCGTGGATCACGAGAATGGTGTCATGCAGCTTTGCATTTCCTGTACTGTATGCACAGTGCTCAAATAAAAGTCAGTGGCTTGCACTACTTACAACTTCCATAGATTTGAGCCTAAAAGACTGGTGCTCAGTACTGTTTTCCCTGAAGGAATGAGTTTTTTGAAACAAAGTTGTGATAAAGGAGAAAATGGGACTCAACCAGTGTTGATGTAGGTTTGATTAAGACTTTTTAAAATAATCATATAAAACACTAGTCTCTTTATTAGTAGAAACTTCTGTGGCTATGCAGAACTAGAAATTGAACCAAAAAAAATTAGAAAAAAAATCATTTAAACTTCAAAAATATTTTAAATGGACTTTGGGCAGGTTTTTTGTTTGTACTTAAAAATGAATTGTAGTGTTCTGTAATTCAGCTACATACATGTGGTAATAGGGATCAACTTGACACGTTTGAAACCACGTAAATAGATTGTAGCAATTAGAGGAAAGCTCAGGCTGCATTCAGTATGGATTTAGCATTGGGAAGACCCTTATTCTTGAATCTAGAGTTACTATTTTTGTACATATTTGCATAGTGTTTAAACTTGCAGCCTAAACTACTGAAAATTGTGATTGTATGTTTGTGTGAGCTTCAGTTTAATGAAAGATTCCTAATGGTTCTTTGTATTAATATTATACTTGGTGTTTGGGGTTTTTTTTTTTTAAATTTTGTTTTTTCTTTGAGCTTTTTGAAGGGGTCGTGGTGGGACATGTGGCAAATTTCTTTTTTCTTAAAATTGTAACCCTCTAGAATATATAAAAATGTGATGAACCCAAAGTCTTAAGTATTCAGTTTCCCTGCTTTAACAGTACTAACTAAATGACTAGTAAATTTGAGTTCTGAATGTATACATTGCTTTACCAGTTTAACCAAGAGCACATGCTGTGGTTGGTGCAGAGGTTGTAAAGCAGAAACTCCAACTTCTTGTCCATAATCTGTACATGAAGTGACAATTAAGAGAGTTCCTAGGATAATCTCCATTGGTACCTTGACTATCATGGTAGCATATGATTTAGAATATACATCTAAACAACAAGGCAGAAATCACTTGATCATTTTGTGCCAAGAAACACTGTTGGTGCCTGGTAGGGATTAGTGTCTCTTGTAGGTGCCCTGTGTACCTCCTACCATAATTGTAAATGAATTGTGAGAAGTGCAAGCCATGTTTATCCTGAATTTTGACCTAATAATTTGTAGTATTAGTCAAATGCATGTAGCTTTCTGTTTACATATTGTGCCATATGATCTTCATTTATGCCAGGTAAACTGTATTTGAACTGTGTGCAGCTGGCTTTGTTTTAATCTGCTTGGTAACCAATGTAGCTGCTTTGAAAAATCTTAACCATTCACATATTTTTAAGAGCCAAACTTCTTTCATTCCATTTAAAATGTTTTCACTTACTTTTCTTCCTTTTCACTTAACTCCATCAACTTTAAAACAAACAAAAAAACTTAGAGCAGCACATGCATCCAAGTATTAGTAGTTGCTAGTGTTTCCTCTTTGTGCTCTAAGTGAGGGAATTTAGATAGTGTTACTTTAATTTATGCTTAATTTTGGAAAATACCTTTTTTCTGGCTGTCTCCGTTGCCTCCTTGTGACAAGTGGGAGTTTTATACATTATTTTTCATTTTTGGCACTGAATTAGGACAGTTGTCATCTCATTGCTGGGCGCTTCAAGCAACTTACCTAAAAGGTGCTGATATTTTATTTAGTACTGCCAACTTCAAGATATTTAAATATCTTTCTTTCTGAACCAGTTCTATTTATAGTTTGCTTTCGGGTTTTTACACCCAAAGTGGATTCTGCAATTCTGCATTCCAGAGTTAAAATGGCTTTGTTTTAAAATGTTTATGAAAGGCACAGCTGGAATATACTCCCAGTCTTAAAAAGAAATGCCAGATTTAAATAGGTTATGCTGGAGTATGTAAAGTTTTGTAATCTCTCAAAAGTGGTATTGTCTTTTAATTGCTAGAAATTTTTTAAACCTTTTAAGAGGGCTGTAACAGTTGCTGCTAGGGTTTTGTTAGGGTTCCATTAGTACTTAGTTTCCACGTCATTCTGATGTATAGCTTATGTCTTAATAGACAATCTGAATTCCACTACATTTCTGTTTGGCTCCAACATTCCATTTAGCTTGACCAGACTAATTTAACATGTGTTTGTTGGAGGTCATTACTGTTACGTGTACAATGCTGTCACTGTGTGACATCCATATGAATTTTTGGTGTATATCACATTGCATTCAATCAGCTGTGATTATGCTTAGAAATATTATAGTAACTAGGTGCAGTGTGAATTTTTTCATTAAAAGTAAGTGGCTTAAATGTGATTATGGTCCTGCAAGGTAATACTTGCTAAAATACCCAAACTTTTTTTGTTTAACTGAATCATTTTTTTAAAGAATTTATAAAGCTGGAGGTATCAAATGCTGTTTGTTTTATTTTTCATTGTCAACAGTGGTGTGTCATTTTATGTATGTTCCTAATGCTTATGGAACTCGCCCCAAATAAAGTTATTCAAAAAGAGCCGTTATACTGGTGTGTTTTCTTTAGTCTTTATTTTAAAAGATTTACTTAACACTGAAATATGAATCATTTAAAATTCAGGCTGTGTTTGCACATAAATCAATAAATACATAGTTAAGATTAATTCTAGTAAAATTAAAGCAAAAGTGGCGAAAATCATTTACAGAGTAAAACGTACTTTCCTACTCAACCATGTACGAAGTAGCAACAGGGGAAATGAGATCTCGTTATGCGTTGAGTTGGCATAACAGTGCTACTCCTCGCCCAATCCAGTGCTCCTTGGGTTGGTCAGAGGGCAGAGTCATGGCGATCACGAAATTGGTGGAATGGCCGGTAGTGGATAATGTTCCTCTCCGCTCACTCGTCTTATACAGTGGAGCAAGGTAACTCGGTCGTTCGGGTATATCTGCCCTCTTACAGGGCTTTAGCCACATCTGGAAGAAAATGTAGGAATCCTCTTAACTGAATTGTTTAGAGTACATTAGGTTCAATTCTATCTGCCAGTTTCCATGGCCCCAGTTTTATTTCTTCCAGCAGTGCTGCTCTTGTGCACTTTACTATTATTTCGAATGATCTTCAGAACCGGTTTGGAAACCGGGAGAAAAAGAAGTGTGCTGTTCTCACACACTTCGTTATGTGCTGTCGAGTTGGAACTGACTCAGCTGACCCACCAATAGGTGTGCAGAGACTGTAAGTCACACGGAAGGAGTCTGCTCTTCTTTCTCCTAAGGAGTGGCTAGTGGATTTGAACTGCTAGCCTTTGGTTTGGCAGCATAACACCTTGCTCACTAGGCCACCAGAGCTCCATTTTAACCAGACTGCTGCTTGGAGGCAAGGATTTTGAAAGTCCATGTCGTATACTTTGGGCATGATGTCAGTAGTAACCAGTCATCGTAGGACATCATGCTTGGAAAGGTAGAAGATAAGCCCCGGAGAAGACCCTGGATGAGATGGGTTGACACTGGCAGTGGATTGGGAGTGTTGGAGATGGAGAAGTTGGCTCAGGATAGGGCAGGTTTCAGAGCCAATCGTAGTGTCTCTGAATCATGGTCAAAAGCACTGTACTTACCTGGGGGTCACTTTTGACACAACAGAAACCAGATAAACTTTGAAAGGACAGAACTACCACTACTGATAATTAAAAGTGTCTGTATAATTGATGGCCAGCTGTCTCCCAAAATTCTGAAGGTTGGGGGGTTTTTTGTTTTGTTTTGTTTTTTTTTAATCAATGGTTTTGTAACTAGATTTCATTGCCTCACACATCATACAGTGAATCAGGCGCACCTTAGTCTCCAGCCTGATATTTTAGTCTAGGGCACTTGAGAGAGATCTTACCAGGTTGAAGCCCTTTATCCTCTTAGCCTAGTACAATTTTGAGGAATACCTTACCTGGTTTAAATCCTTTACTGACATTTTGCCTCTCCACCCTGCAACCTATAGGGGAGCATCATTCTTTTTCTGCCCTTTCAGGATTTTTGCATTTAAGGAAGGAAAACTTATCTGGATTACTGCTAGGTTTACTCTGAATCACAGACCCTGCTCTCCTTTGGTTCTCTTCAAATGATGTGCTGAATCAAAGCATGTTCCCCTGAGACATTTCAGAGTTAACAATGTCAGCATTCAGTTAATGCAGACATCACACAGTCCAGGAACGTACTCGACATGGACCAACCAGACTCTCAGGTGTTCCTCTTAATGGCTTTTAACTGCTAAAAGCTTTCAGGTGCCATGTGAACTGATCCCTTTATGAATTGCTAGAGGGCAGCTACCTTGAAAGGGCACGTTGTGTGATAACTATGCACCCTTCTGGATAGAGGCCATCTTGAAAGGTGGAACTGGATGGATGCCCTGTGACATCTAGACAGCTAATCAGAAAGACACCACCTTGGAGCCCAGTGGCATGCGATCACTAATTAGCTTATTTCACCTTTTGGGAAGATAGCCCCACTTTTCCTAAAAGTGCTGAATAAAGATGAACTGTATGCATAACCTTGCATAATGATAAGCATCTCCTCAGCACCTTCCCTTGGTGAGGCAGGGTTGGGAAGCTCATAGCCTATTTCCTGTATGCTAGCGTATATAATAAAAGTGCTTTCCCCCAGTTCTAACCCATCTCTCCAAATTTTTTTTTTCGGGAAACAGCTGAACCACATTGGTGCACCCATAGGAAAATATGAGTATGAGAGAGAGAGAGAGTGTGTGTGTGTGTGATGTGTGTCTGTGCGTGCCTATAGTTTTCCTCAACCCCATTATGTTTATAGAATATACTAACCACAGGCACTGTATCATAAAGAATTTTGGGGTAAGATTCTCCAAGTTTCTTGGTCTTTTTATTCCAGGAAGCACCATCCAGAAACAATCCATAAATAAAAACACCTAAATGTAAAATAAATGGGTTAATAAAACACTTTTAATATGTATACTGATCGATATCTGCATCTAAAATTCCTATATGTGAACATGACGTAGATAAAAGATTAGCCGCCTAAGGCTTGTTCTAAAACAAAAGCAAATTGTTCTCAGTGCTTTGTTTTACAGGCCTTATTTCAAGAACTCCTGTACTTTGCAAGGTGAAATAATGGAATAGTAAATTTAAGTGTTGCTTCTAAAACAGAATGGAAGGCAAAAGGTTCAAGGAATTTTAAATTAGCCCCATGGGAAATTCTGTTTGAAGACTTCATTAGATTGGCCAGTGATTCTAATATGGTCAGCGGCCCTGAAAGTTGGGAAAAAAAATTAATTATAGGGATCCCAGCAGCTACGAGGCAGCAAGCAAACGCAGAAAGTACCATTCTGTGGATTTCCAACACCCTGAGAATTAAATCTCAATCTCCTTTGATTTTTTAAAAATGCATCCTCATTGCCAAGACCTCTCTTTAGTCTCTCAGGTAGGAAGACAAGAGATGAACCCTAATGTAATGTCACACAGTAACAACTGAAAATGACCATGGATTAGGAGATTAATGAAATGCAGGTTACTTTCTTCAGACACACATTTGTGTAAAGCCTCCTACACTGACTTCTGGTATCCGCACGTGAAAATATGAAGATATATATGATAGAGCACAGATATGAAGAGGGCAATACGGTATGCAGAAAGACCCACGATTTAGTTACTAATTTGTGCAACTGAAAAAGTCATTGAATCTCAGGCCCTGTTAGAGATTTTGTAATAGAAGGATGCCTGCTCTGTCTACTCTCTCTGTTAGACTCCCAACAGTCAGTACAAATAAAAGTACTTTGTAAATCAGAATACCAACTCCTGACACCTGCTGGAGCAATGATGTCTAATAGGACACTCTGCAATGACACAGTGCCCAGTATGGTAGCCACTATCTCTATGTAGTTACTAGGCATTTGAAACCTAACTAGGGTGATCAAGGCACTGAATATTTACCTTTACTTACAGTCAAATTTCAATACCCATGTGGACAGTCTGAGAGGGAAGTTTTGTTTTCTCCCTTCTGGATTTTAAATTATGGGAAGAAAAATTTAGAATAAAATATCCATTTTATTACCTGGAAAAGCACCACCCAGTAACTATCAAAGTGAACTGATCAAACTGAATAGAAGGTATACTTTGAACCACAGACCGTGTGATCAAGGGCCACCTAAGGAAGAGCAAGGATTTGAACTGTGCATCTTTGGGTTGCCAGCACAACTCCTTACCATTAGGCCACCAGAGCTCCCTATTAATTACATATGTTACTCTTGTTAGCTGTCATCGAGTACAACTCATAGTGACCCTATGCAATGTATCTGAAGCCTGTCCTCTCCTGTGCCATCCTCACAATCTCCGACACACTTGAGCCCTTTGCTGTAGTCACTGTGTCAATCCACCTGGTTGAAGGTCTTATCTATAATCACAGATAATAAACCTCTAACTGAGCATACTATCTCTACTTGCTTATCTAACACAGATTTGTGAGTACAACTGGAGCTGGGTCTGTTTGCTCAAACTCTTCAGCTGGTATTGCATTATTTCCTGGGGCCTTGGTTTTTTGCCAGTGCCTTCAGTCAGTACAGCTTGGACTTCTTTGAATATCACTCACGATGTCAGTTTGAAGACTAAGATATGCCTGATCCTAATGATGGTACTTTCAGTTGCCTTGTATGTATGCACCTAACAGGCTGGACAGTAAATAAGGAAGACTGAAGAAGAAATGATGAGTTTGAATTATCATTTTATGTGAAGAGTATTGAGTTTATCATGGATTGCTAGAAGAATAATCTGTATTGGAGAACGTACAACCAGTGTGATCCTTAGAAGAAAGGATGATGAAACTTCGTCTCACATACTTTGAGCATGTTGTTAGAAAGTGCCAGTCTTTAGGGTGGAAAAATGATGCTGGGAAAAGTAGAGGATCCTGCCAAGAGAAGAAGACTCTTGAGACAGAGTGAAGCAGTGAACAGAACAATGGGCATGGCACAGACCTTGAGGATGGCACAGTCAGGGACAGCTTTCACTCTGGTGGTGGTAATAGGGTTGCTATGAGTTGTCAACTCCCTGCACCTAACAACAATATTCTCTGCTTGAGGAGAAAAGGAAGGGTACAAACACAAGAGTCCATTCCAAGGAGTATTGAAGGGAGTAACCTCCCTTCAACCTAACAATATCACAACAAATGGAATGGGGACTTTCAAAACTTTAATTCCTTATAGTCAGATAAGCGCCTTAAGGAAACAGTACATAGAATGTTACACTGAACTTTCACACTAAATCTCTCCAGTCACTCTCGGTCATCTTTTGCGTATTCCTTGCTTGTTCAGTTTCTGGTTCCCTTTCCACTGTGTAGAGCTCTCCAGTGATGACTGTGAGTCATCCAGTATAACACCAAAAACCCTAGTGGTAAGGGTCTGCCCTGCAATGGCAAAGGCACTAGGTTTGAATCCACCATCTGCTGTGCAGAAGGATGGGTAATCAATCTCCTTTAGTGCGATTTGCTGCTTCTCAATCCCTGCTGGTGCATCAGCTATGAGTTGATTCCCACTTAACGACACACAACAACAACATGTAACAAACACCACCAACACTTAGGCAGACACTTCGAGAATGTAGGACAGTGACCCTCAAAATGTCCTCCAACAAGTTTAAACCAGTCTTATAAATGAGGCTATCCTGTTCTTGAGAACCAGGAACCAGACATAGACACATACTAAAGTGTGTTAAAGGACAGATTGGGGGAGGGGTAGAGATCAGAAAGACTCTGCTTTTGGCCCAAGCTCTTCTCAGATGGGATCTATGTCTTCCTCATTAGGGTCTCCTGAGAAAATGGTTCCTTTGGAAACCACTCTCCTCATCCCCCTCCCCCCAACTTTTCAAGCTAACCTTATGGGTTCTCATTTTTATTTACAAGCTGATTATTGTCATGAACTGTGGAGTCGGAACCAACCCCTTAGTGGGTTTTCAGAGGCTGTAAAGCACAGGGGAGATTGCCTATCTTTCTCCCAAAAAGCAGCTGGTGAATTCAATCCATGTGCCGGTGAGGGGGCAGTGCAACTCCTTCCCACCACGGCATTAGAGCCCTGGAATCTACTTTCTTGTGGTGGTGGTTATGTGCTAACCTTTGAGTGGGTCTTCAGAGGCACTTAGTCACCTATGAGGAGCTTACCCATTTTTCTACTTAGGAAGGAAAAATCTGGAATGACTTAAGACTAATGTGTTCACAGTATATATGTTTACAGTAAAAATGAGCATGCTTGCTCATTCAAAACAGTAAAGTTATGATTTAAATATTCCAAGCAGCAGTGTATGATACAGAACCAATGGTAATGAAGAAAAAAGTTCAAGTTACATTGAAGCTACTGGCAAAAAAAAATAAGGCCCTAGGAGTCGACAGGACACCAACTGACATGTTTCAGTTAACAGATGCAGCCCTGGATATGCTCACCAGTTTGTGTCTGGAAATTTGAAAGACAGCTACTTGGCCAATGAAATGGAAGAGATCCATATTTGTTCCCTTTTCCAAGAAAGGTGATCCAACAGAATGTGGAAATTATCGAACTGTATTATTCATATCAATGCAACAAAAATGTTGCTGAAGATGATGCAAAAAGATCTAGGACTGCCAGAAGTTCAAGCTAGGTTTAGAAGAGGCCTTGGCACCAGGGATATCACTGCTGATGGTGGATGTGTCTTGGCTGAAAACAGAGAATACCAGAAGGAAGTCTATTTGTGCTTTACTGACTATGCAAAGGCATTTGACTGTGTGTTTCACAACAAATTCATCACTACTGTCTCTTGATCATATGTTGTTTCTTACTAGCAGTAAAGAAATCAAAAGAGGCACTGCATTGAGAAAGCCTACTATCAAAGATCTCTCCAAAGTACTAAAGAGCAATGATGTCAGTATGAAGACTAAGGAGTATCTGATTAAAGCCATGAACTTCTCAATCACTTGCCATTAATCTGAATAAAGATGACAGAAGAAGAACTGATGCCATAGCAGATTCTCCAGAAGGTTTTCAGTGGCAGTTAACTGCATGGGAGGAGATTGCCCATCCTTCTCCAGAGGGAGCGACTGTGGGATTCAAACTGTGTGCCTTAGGGATTTCAGGACAGCTTTTTACCACTAGGTCACAAGAGCTCCCTATGCCATGGAGAAATAAAATCCGCTAGCATGAAGTTCAAATCCCCCAGCTGCTCTGTGGGAGAAGGATGTGCAGTCACCTCTCGTGCAATGCACCACCTCTGAAGACCCCCTGGAGGGTCAGTGATGAGTCTGTTCTTTCTTGATGACACACAACAACAACAACAACATGCCATAGTTTTCTTCTTAAAAAACAGGGACAACAGTCAAACTCATGACCTAGGGCTATTTTTGAGGCTCAGATGTAAAGGGCTTGGGCAGCATTGAGAACCCAGCACCAGCACAGAGTGACTCTACAGTATGTGCCCATGAACGTCTTCTTCGTCAAGTCCCACCTTAAACACTCCTCCTCTTCCCCTTTCCTACAGGTTTAGTTTGAAGTCAATTCTTTTTCTTTCTTGGTATTTTCTTGGGCTATCTGATTATATTTTCATTTTTATGTGTGTAGGGACTCAAACATCTACGTATTGGTACATTTCAGGCATGTAATATAGAGATATATATACACAGAAAATGTATTTTTTAAGACCCTATAAAATTTAGGAAATAATAAACTAAACAATTTAGCAGGAAGTTGTTAAATTCCCTCAGGCATGCAGCAATGTGTCTGGTCCGAGTGTATTAGGAGTAAACAATTCTGAATAAATGGTCAGATTAATGATGACTTGGACATCTATGGCTGGAATAAAAATTATTAGGTTTTAACATATTACTTGATTCAGTGAATTTTTCTCTAAGCACTTAACTGTTCTTAAATGTGTTGTTGCAATAAAAATGTTAGAATTTAACATGAAAGAAAACGGTTCTAAAAGGTAGGTAAGGGGAGGGGAAGGTAGTTAAGAATGTTGGGCTAAAGCCAAAACAATCAAATCCATTGTTGTTGAGTCCATTATGATTCACAGGGAGCCCGCAGGGTGGGGAAGAACCGCTCCTCGGGGGTTTTCCAGGAACTGCTTGGACAAAAAGAACCAGCAGAACTGTCCTGGAGGACGGACAGCCAGAGTGCTCCCAGGAGTCGAGGCTGGTGAGACCAGCCCATCCCAGAGAAGGACATCGTATCCGGTAAAATAGTGGATCAGCAAAAAAGAGGAAACCCCTCAACAAGAGGGACAGAGAGCACCATGTTTCATTCTGTTGTCCTTAGTCCTTATGATCAAAACCAACTTGACAACATCTAACAATAGTCTTTCTGTAAGCAAACTGCCACACCTTTCTCCTGTGGAGCAACTAGTGGGCTCAAAGGTCTAACCTTATTAACATCCACGTGCTTTAAACATTGCATCACCAGGGCTCTTACAAGGATTAGGTTTTCATTCCCATTGAGCGAGTTAGTGGCCCTACCAGATACAGTCAAACTGCTTCTCAGGATATCAAGGCTGTAAATCTTTGAGGAACACACAGCCTCATCTTTCTCCTGAGAAGCATCTGGTGGGTTAAAACTACCAACATTCGGTTAAGTTAGTAGTGCAATACTGAACCAGTTATACTATCAACATTCCTAATGTTGGGTTAGGTGCTATATATCCTATGTGAGCTCAACCAGCATGATTTTCAGAATGCCTACTGCTGCATCTGAGGATCTAAAAGAAATGAAGAAAGATGGGTGAAGACAAAGTCACTGCCCTGTGGGTATTTGCACTGTGGTGGGAAGACAAAAAGGAAACAAAATCATTTGAGAGTGCGACAAATGCTTTGACGTTAATGAGCAGAGCTGTAAGAAAGAAAGCTGAAGGGAGCATTGGTGGCCTAGTGGCAAGAAGCTGCACTGCAATCCCAGAGACACACGGTTCAAATCCACCAGATGCTCTGCTGGAGAAGGAGGGACAATCTCCTCCCGTACCAGTCAGATCCGATTTGACGGTACACATACACAAAACAGTAAAAGAAAATGAAGAAGTAAAGAAAGCTGAAGGAGAGAAGTTTCAATAGATATAATATCCAATGGATTTTAAACTACAATGCCGAGTCCCAAATGATGAGAAGTGCTCAACAGATGTTTAAGAACAACTCGTACAAAGATCTCAAGGAGGAAAGAACTTGTTTGAAGCATTCCAGTACCTGCTGGAAAGTCAGAGTGGCCAGAACAATGGGGAGAGTGGCTCAAGATGAGGCTGTCTGTGCAGGCCGTAGCTGAAGGCGTTTGGTGTCACACTCATGACAAGGTATCTGGATTTTACCCTTGTTACAAGAAGAAGAGATGTGTATTATTCATTCGAAATTTTAACTGGGTTAAGTGGTGATATGACCTGTTTATGTGAGGTTAACGCACAATTCCTGATAAAAGTAATGGTGGTAGTAGCAGTGAAGAGGAGCAAATGCATTTGATGTGAATCTACCGAGGGACTCAAGGATGAAGAATGGTTCACAGGTTTCCTGCTACATGGTGGTACCAGTTCCTGAGATTCATCTAACTGTCAGATATCCAGGAGACATGCAAGAAGAGCTATCAGGTAGGCAGCTAGATATGAAGTCTGGATTTCAGAGAAAAGATTTAGACTGAAGATTTAAGTTTGAGAGATAACAGCAAGGAAATAATGTTTTAAATACAGAAGAAGAGGTCATTTGGGATGAGGGTGTATTAAAATAGAGAAACCAGCATTCACATAATGGAATACTATGCAGCAGGCAGAAGCAATGTCTTTGTAAATTAATACTTAACTTGAGAGGGATTGGAAAGCATTATGCAAGTGAACTTACTCAGTCCCATAAGGACAAATACTATATAACACCATTATTTTAAATGTGTACTAGGAACCCAGGTGGGGAGGGGGAGTAGAGGCGGGGGAGCATGAGAGGGAAGCTTAATCATAGGGTCACATAATTTGATGGGTGGAGGGAGGGGTGGGTAAAGGAAAGAGGAAAGATCTGGTGTGAAAAACAATGTGTATGAACTTTGTACATAAACCAGTATAAAATAAAAATTTTATATATAAAACATAGAGATACATTTCAGGACAAAGTCCACAAAATTCTAATATTTAAAGGGGTAAAAGCTAGCAAAGAAACACATGGTCAACATCAAGGAGGGGAAGGTTGGGAAAGGGTGATGGCCTAGAAGCAGAGAGAAAAGAATGACTCTAGAAAGAGGAAATTTTCAACTGGTGAAAACGGCTACGATGTTAAGATGAAGTCAGAAGTAAATTAATGGGATTTTTTTTTTTTTTTGTTAATTTAGGTTGTTTATTTTTCATTTCAATGAACATCTACAGAGATTTTGGGATTCCATTCATTCTTTGTTGCACCCTTCTCCCTGCACAAACCCCTCCCCCCTCCCCCCCCTTTGCTAAAGCAAAAGAAAAACTCCCTCATTGGTACACAATCCCCCCCCCCGCACCCCTCCAAACCCCCCCCCTAGCCCCAAATATAATCCACTCTACAACCCTCATTGCATACTCCTACGGTAAAAATAATGCCCTAAAATATAATACTTTTAGACTATTCTCTCTCCCATAGATTTCAATGGGATATTTTTAACATGAAAATCATCAGTAACTCTGACAGGCACAACTGATTAGCAAGGATAAATGGCAGATATACAGGAAGTGAGAACCTGGATGAAACATGTAAGGACGACTATGTGAGAAATCTGGTTATTACGAACAAAGATATGGGACAGAGACTGGGAGGCTGTCCCAGAACAAAGATAGGGGGCAGACACTGAGAAGCTGTAAGTACTAAGACATCAGGGGTTGAGTTTTGGATTGTTTTAAGATTAACTGAAGAGGGTGTGAAATGCTGATAGGACTTGCTGAGCACTGAGAGAGACACCAGAAAGGATGAGAGTACAACTGAGAAAATAAAGGCTTTGAGAAAAAAAGAAAACCTTACCAGAGAGGACAGATTTGGATCAGTTCACAGATTCAGTGATGGTGAAAGTTCTCTTCTGATGTGTTTTTCTGGGGTTTTATTTCCTTTTTTCCAGTGAAGGGTAAGATGGGATGTAGGGGTAAAGGAAAAAGGAAAGGAGGCAGCAGTGGCTGTTTTGAAAGTAGGGGAGTAAATTTCCTGAGGAACAGTTACAGAATTTCCTCAGAGTGTTGTTGCAAATTCTCTTGAGATTTGTGGTCAATGTTAAGGTCACGTGACACAATATTCACTCTGTTGTGACTGCATACATATTAGTTTGTATTTCCCACCAGAGTGTGATAGTTGGGGGCCAAGATTCCATCTCACTGTTTGCTGTTGATATTTCCAATATCAAGAAGACAGAAATCCTCACCACTGGGCCAATAGGAACATCATGATAGACGAAGAGAAGGCTGAAGGTGTGGACAGTTTCATCTTGTTTGGATTCACCATCAACAGCCTGAACACCAGCAGTAAAAAAAAAAATCAAAAGATGTACTGAATTGGGTAAACCTGCTGTCAAAAATCTCTCTTAAGGAGTTTTTGGGCACAGTATCAGGAGGGACCAGTCCTTGGAGGACATTATGCTTGGAACGGTGGAGAGAATGCAGGAGAGGAAGACCCTGAATGAGGTGGATTGACACATACAGAGACTGGAGTAATAGGGGCAGGTGTGTCAGAGACTGAGATTGGCTCAGGTTAGGACTGGGTTCAGAGCTAATGTACAGAGGGTCGGTATGAGCTGCAGGGGTCTCAAGGGCACATAACAACAATGATAAGAAGTTGCACTGCCAACCCAAAGGCAGTTCAAATCTAGCAGCTGCTGAGAGAGAGATGGGCAATCTTCTCCCATACAATTTACAACATCTGCAAGCCTATTAGAGGGTTAGCTGTGAGTTGGTTCTGATTCCCAGCAGTGGGTTAGTTTTTCAGTTACAGACACAAAGCATTGAAAAGAAAACTAGATAATTATTGGGGGGGAGGGAAGGCCAAATCCAAATCTCATCATCAATTTTTTTTTTTACTTAGGTTTTACAGTGATGTGTAGAAGAAAGGGATAAGTGTATTAGGAGTCTGCAAAGTTGTGTTCTTCTAAGGATGAGGAAAACTCTTCAAGCTGTACCATCTTGATTTCCCAAAGCAGTGTAAGATTATGAATGATTATCCTATATATTGTTAATTTGAAGATGACTTTCTTTTAAACATTTTATTATAAATAAATTCAAACATACAAAATTTTGCAAACATCAAGCTGTACTAAGGATATCCATCTGCCCAGATCCACCTCTTATCACCGTACCCCTCTTTATCACTTGTTTCTCTCACATCCCAGTGCTTTATTTTTCCTCCATACTTTGCCCCGTTCAACCGCCTGAAGATAAGTTGCATCATGAATCACGATTGCTTTCTTAATTTCTTTGTGCATGTGCATATGTGTGTGCCCAGATTTGAGGCATCTCACCTTGTCCCTGCACTTACCATCTTCAGGAGCATTCTTATATTCTCTGTCTTCCATCACTTCATAGTCAAACCCAAGCAGATCGATGGGAATGGTATACTTCCTGGCATAGTTCTGCTGGGCACCAGTCAGGAAGGCTTGTGTGAAGAAGAAGCCAGAAAGCCAGAAGGTCGGAGGAGGGCCAACCTCATACCATTGCTATGGTTAAAAACACAATTATTCTAAATTTGACAGAAAGTACTCCACTTATCATTTAGACAAACTAATAAATGAGCTAACAGTCTGAAGAATAAAAGTTACCCTCTCAAGGTTTTTTTTTGTTTTTTTTTTATTATTTTATTATTTTTTTGTGTGTGTACCGTCAAATCAGATCTGACTGGTACAGGAGGAGATTGCCCCTCCTTCCCCAGCAGAGCATCTGGTGGATTCGAACCGTGCACCTCTGGGATTGTAGTTGCAGCTTCTTGCCACTAGGCCACCAGAGCTCCACCCTCTCAAGGTTTTAAAAATAAGTAGCATATTCAGTATCTATTCTGGATTAAAAATAATATTCACCAAATCAGCTTGGACTCATATTGTTAAATGCAGAAATAGATGTGTTTTTATATGTGCCCATCAGACCTCCAGAAAAGTTCCATATTTATCAAGCATCTAATGTCCATCGTCGCATTATATATCATGTTATGCAGTGGAACAGAACAAGAGATTACCATAAAGTTTAGACAAGAGGTATACTTTTTTCAATATTTCATTCTCCAATTAATTATTAGCACCCATTAGAGGGTCAGCTATGGTTGGTTCCACCTCAACAGCCACGATCACTCCCCGCCCACAGTAGAACAGGGAGCTCTTGTCACCCAGTGGTTAGAACCTGTGCTGCGTTCAATTCCACCAGCTGCTCCGTAGGAGGAGGGACAATCTCCTCCCATGTGATTTACTGTCTCTGAAAACCCATCGGAGGGTCAACTATGAGATGGTCCCAACTTGACAGCATACAACCACCACTCAGTAGAATATTTCTTTGGAAGGTTTTTTCTTTTATTTCCATTTCAGAAAAATACAGTGAAATTCAACATCTGGAAACATAATACAAGGATGTTCAGAAAAAGTGGGATAGTCAAAGCTTATGGTCTTTATAAAAACCCAGAGCTAAATACTGATGTCAACAAAGAGTATATTACAAAATTCAGTGCTGACTATATGAAACCTTTACTGGACAATCTTAATTCCTTAGCAGGACTACAGATCAACAGAGGCTCTAACCCAATTGATGGTTCTGTATTGTGAAAAGGATATTTGTGGCGTCAGTCACCTTAGCCCTGTAGAAATTTCCCCATCAGCAGTTTTTTATCATGTTTGGGAAATTAATGAATAATTCTAATGGATATAATTGTTAAGAGTAACGTAGTTAAGCACCAGTATTACCAGATAATTACGAGATGGGTTTTTGCCCACTCAACATGTCCAAGATTAGCCATTGTGGTCCTGGGCTGAACCAGCGACGTAATGATTTCATGACATGGACTAGTAACTTGCCTGACTTTCTAACATAACATTGCTCCAGGGAACTGCTGTAATATGAAATATTTAATGGAAAGCAACATAGCTGTTGTTTCCAAATGTCATTACTTTGAGTGTCTTAATTAAATGAGCATGAGTGATCATAAAGAACATTTCAGAGATTTCCTGTCCAATGCTAGTTACTTCCACAGTTCAGTGTAACAGCTACACAGATTTTATACAACATCTATCCGGTCATTTGTGTCAGGGATGCACTGAAAAATTAAGGAGTAATCCTCATCACACCAGCCATACTGATGAAGAAAATGAAACCACAAGAAACGTAAGACTATGTGATCAGGTGGAAGGACTCACCTGTAAGAATTTTAATCTTGCAAGGAAATCATTGACATAGCTGCCAAGTGGCTTAAGGCTTGGGTAGGATTTTCCCATCCACATTCCTGGAATTTTGACATTCAGAATGCTACCAACCACTTCTTCAAGCTCTGTGGACATCACTACAAGACCCTTGAAAAACACTGAGGTTTTGGTTAAAATGAAATGGTAGACAACCCTCTCTTAAACAGCCCCTCCTAGTTATCCTTATTTATAGTTGTGATTAGTTAAAGTCGAGTCAAACAGCACATAATGTTCACAAGTCAGCAAGGGAATCTTTCTATTCTTCTTAGAAAAATATTATCTAAAGTTTAAATGAAAAGTCTTCTTGATAATGACCAAGTACCTGCCATCAGCTATTCAGCAAATTATTAATAATGTTGATTTCATGTACCTGTATACTAAAAAGATAAGTAATTTATCTCTTCTGCATTCTTATTAAGGTAAATATACTTTAAAATTGGAAAAAATGGTAGAAAATGCTTTGAAATAATAAAATACCCAGAATACACTCGGGAAGTCTAATGTATTTCATCCCAAACAGTCACTTCTCTCTTGTGTTCTCCACAAACATGTACTTAAACAGCTGTAATTGTACATGACATTGTTTGGTAGGTGATGAAGAGTATTAAGAAAATAATTTTTTATTTTTCTGCTAAAAGAGTTAAAAAAACCAAAAAACCAAACACAACCCACACTCCAAATCCACAGAGAAGTAAGGCTAGCAAATGGGTCTTCTCTTAATCAGAATGACTCACCATTCAGAGCAAATCACTGATTTCAGAAGATAAAGTAATAATATTTAAAAGTTAGCTGGAGAAAAACTGAACAAGGCCTCTCACCTTGTACAGATTGGGTAATTGTATATTAAAATAAAAAGGTCATTTACAAATTTAGAAGCCAATGTATATAGGGGTCTAGCAAAGGAATAAGCATTCAAAGCTAATTTTCCAGTGAAGTTATTTTTCTTTCTTTTTGGCAATAAATGCCCTAATATCTTTCAGTGGCTTAAAATGGAAAAAATTGCCTGCTAGTGTACATTTGCAATGGACTACTGTACAAAGACAAAGAGTTCAGAGAGTGTCAATGAATGTATTAATGTTCACCATGGAACATACCATGGACCACCAGGAGAATATTAGGTCTGCTTTGGAGATAGAGAATCCAAGTTTCTCCTTGGAGGGAAGGATTTTGAAGCTCCATCTCACATACTTTGGGCACAATGTATGTACTTTTGACTCAATGGCACCTAACAACAACAGTGTATTCTATTTGTTCCTTATTTACCCATTTTGCTTTTTGAAACCTGTCACCTCCAGAACGCTATATTCGTCTCATGCTGTTATGTGCTGTCAAGTCACCTGTGACTCAGTGACCCTATGTATAACAGCTCTAAACCCTGCTCTATACTGTGTCATTCTTACTGTTTCTGAAACACCTACCCCTATTACTCTAGTCCTTAAATCAATCTGTCTCATCAAGAGTCTTCCTCTCTTGCATCACCCTCTACCCTCCCAAGCATGATGTCCCTCTCCAAGGACTCCTTGTAATATGTCCAAAGCATGCCTCCAAGAAGCAGCCTGGCCTCACCCTCTCTAGCAAGAACCTGTTTGTTACTCATAGTTTAATGTTGCACTCCATGGTATATTCAGTACTCTCCTCCAGTGTCACAGCTCAGAGGCATCAATTCTCCTCCTTCTGTCATCCCTAGTCATTGTCCAGCTTTTTGACACATAGCAAGTAATTGCAAAGACTATGGCCTGAATCAGGCACACCTTAGTCTCCAGACTGACATCTCATAGGTAGGAATTATTTTTTTCCCCCCTATAGCCCAGAACTAAGAACTAAGTGTCTGTGCTCATTAAATAGATGTTAAATAAAAATTGTTTTTAAATAAATACATGCTTAATCCAATGGTTTTTCTTTTGTGTATTTCGTCTTACCTTGATTGCCTTTTGAATGTTGATGCATGACTCTCTTATAGTTTGCAGGAGCTTATTGAACCTCCCCATTTCTTGCACGAGGACAGTGTTCATGCTCTGGGTGTAAGTTGTCGGGTATCTCCTCATCGCAGCCTCCACATCAAAGTTGTTTGGCAGTTTACCCAAGATGTCCCCAGCCACTTCATTTACTACTTCATCTGATGATTTTGCACCAGCTCCTGCTGAACGAGACTATAAAGAATACAAATTCTTAGTCAGAAAAGCCAAATAAAGTCTTAAGAATCACGGAATAGAAAAATTCCCAAAGAATATCTTTATACAATTGAGTACAGTTTTGGTGTTTAATCCATGATCTTCCTCCACACAAGACATATTTGAATGATGAAGGCAGACTTAGAGGATGGATGATCAAGATAAAATAACTCCTTGAGGAGAGTAAGAGGGCCTGGGTGGTATTTAGAAGCAAAAGAGTGTTTTGCAGAAACAAAATTTACATTTTGTTGCCTGGGAGGATGAGGAGGAACAAGTACTGCATATGAGGAAAGAAAAACTGTGGCTCTGCTGAGGTGTCCTCATGATGACGGCATTCATACCTTGAGGAGGAATGGGATTTTGCTGTGAGAAAACGTGCCACAAAAATATATTTGCTACTAACTTTGGTGACTGCTGATTGCCAATAGAAACATCGTTTTCTCCTTGAACTAGGAGGACAAAGAAAATAGAACTCATCTCTTCAAGCAGTAGTAAGAGTTAGAGAGAAAAGTGATTCATGCTGGAAGCTCGAAATGGAAGAGAACACCATTTCTATTTTAGTTTCTTATGTTTATAGTGGTACTGTGTAAATGAATCTATATTTTCTGGGAAAACCTTTAAATCTTCAGGCAAATGAATCGATGATTATGTATGGTAGTGAACACAAGGTGTGTGTGCTCATATTTTTCCAATGCTAGGCAATAGCATTTATTCTTCTTTCAGATTGTATATTCCTTGGCTTATTTGTAATTTGATCTATAAATAGTATTTTTCCTTTGCTTTATACTGTGATTTTCAATATTACCTAAAACATATCAACATAAAATTCTGTAAAGTTTCACAACTGATTTTGTTGTTAGGTGCCACCTGAACTCTGTCCTATCCCACACCATCTTTATCATCCCTGACACATTTTAATCCACTGCTGCAGACACTGAAGCAATCATTTCATTGAGGGTCTTGCTTTCCTTTACCGACCCTCCACCTTTCCAAGCATGAAGAATATCCTTCTCTAAGGAACACCCTCTCCTAACAATGTGTCCCAAATATGTGAGACAAAGCTTCACCAACTTTGCCTCCAAGGAACATCCTGCATGTACCTTCTCCAACACTTATCTCTTTGGTTTTTGGTAGTCTATGGGATATTCAGCACTCTTCTGTAACACCACAGTTAAAATGCATCGATTCTTCTCCTGTCATCCTTCTTCACTGTACAGCCCTCAGATGCATAGCAGATGACTGGAAAGATTATGGCCTGAATAAGGCTCACCTTAGTCTTCAGAGTGACATCATTGCACTTCAGGACTTTGGTGATATCCCTGACAGCAGAATTTCCCAATCTTCTGACTGCTAGTACCAAGATTGTTAGCTGTGGATCCATGCAAGATGAAGTTGGTGACAGTTTTAATTTTTTTTTCTCCACCTATCAGGATGGTGTCTCTTGGTCCAGTGGTGAAGATTTTTGTTTTCTTGATGTTATGTAATCCATATTGAAGGCTGCAGTCATTACTCCTCTGAAACAAGTGCTACAGGTTCTTCTCACTTTCAACAAGCAAAACTGCGCCATCTCAGAACGCAACTTTTTGGTGAGACTTACACCAATCCTGATACTACACTCTTCTTCATACAGGTTCAAAGGATCCAAATATCAAAAAGCTGTAATTACTTGTTGTTGTGTGCCTTTGAGTTGTAAATGACTTCTTATAGCTCACCATCCAGGGGTTTTTCAGAGGCTGGAAATCACAAGGGGGAAGATTACCCATCTTTCTTCTGCAGAGCAGCTGGTGGATTTGAAACACCTACCTTTGGGCTAGAAGCACAATGCCTTGCCTCTAAGCCACCAGGCCTCCCTAATTACAAGTTAGGTTTGTTGTGTTGTTTTTTACAGGCATGCCCTTGCAATAATCTTCTATTCTGATGCCAAAACTCTCTGTGTAAAACTAAACATATTAAACTAATCACAGTGAACAAAAAGGAAAATGAATATTTGTGTAAGTTATTGCTAATCTACTTAAGAATAATTTATTTACATGCATGTGAAAGCTAAACAATGATCAAAAAGACTAAAGTAAAATTGATGCCTTTGAATTGTTGTTGCTGTTGATGTAGTATTGGTTAAAAAATATTAAAAATACCACAGGTGGCAAAAACCCCAACACAAACAAATTTGTATAGATGAAGTGCAGTCAGGGTGCCCCTTACAGGCAAGGACGGTGAGTCTATCTCACATATTTGGGTGTGCTGTCAGGAGGGGCAAGTGCTTGGGCAGACACACCATGCTTGGAACAAATGATCAGCAGAGAAGAAGAATGCCTCAAGTGATCTGTATTGACACAGTGACATAACGCAATGGTTAAAGCACAGCAGAGATTGTGTGGATGACGCAAGTTGCCACCTGTTTACGTAGGATGGCTATGAGTAGACACTGACTCATCAATACCTCACGACAACAGTCATTTCTGTTTATATAATAAAGTTCATACAAAATACTACCAAGAAACTAAACACATTCTTATTTTCTAACAAGAGCTGTGCCCCATACAAAGCTGAACTCCAGGTGTCCAGCCCTTTAACATAGAAAGAAAACTGTTTCAACAACACAGCATAGCCCCTACCACCCCTGCCACCCACACCCGTTTCTCACACCAAACTCACATAATTAGTGTCACAGGTTTCCAAAGGAACAGGCAACTGATACTGAGAATTAGGGGCAAGTGGATGCTGTTTACTTGCAATTGTTGAGTTTGTCCCTTTTTGACCCCCTTTCCCTAACTAAGAGTGTCACAACTGCAGTGTTGGATTGCCCAGCAAGCAAGGTAAATAGGAACTTTACTTTTGTTTACTCACTGGTCTGTATTGAACACTTTTACATTTTCACCACATCAGAGACTGTGCTTCTAGGTCTGGCTGCCATCTGCCCTCTCCCAACCGGACACACAGCACCTTCCTACAGAATCAACGCCTCTTTTCAAATCTACAATGCCTGTCAGGGACGGAGTGGGTCCAAAGGAAGCATGTGTTCTTATTTACGAACAGTGTTCCATGTTTTTCATGTGGTGAAACCACTATGGGAACTATTCATCAGATTTAGCTTTTTTACTGGGCAATCTGCCCCTATATAAAAATGTCATTTGAACCTTTCTACTGGTTATTTTCCTTTCTGTCAAATAAAGATCAAAAGATTTATCTCTAAAGAGGCATCACAGACTTAACCTTTTCAAGATTTTAAGTAATTTCTAGTTTTAAAATACTTAAAATTAAAACAACTTTCACATATAAAATTGAGTCTAATAGTTAACATTAAGCAATAGAGCTTTTCAAAAATAACACGCATTCTTCTGAAATCCCTCGCATGTCTCAACTTTCAGCCAAACTGCTGTTGTTAGGGGACATGGAGTCCTTCTGGATTAGAGCAATCCTACGTACAACAGAAGGAAACTCTCCCTGATCCCTCTATCCTCACAACTGCTGCAGTGCTTTAGCTCATTTGTGTGGCCCTTCTGTCAATCCAAGGTAAACAAAATAAATAGGTCTATGTAGGAGGGACCAGCAACACCAGGGAGGAACACTCTCCTCAGAACAACCAAACAAGATTAGAAGAGCAGCATTTTCCCAGGGGGACGTTCAGAAAGCAGGAAGTGATAGGAAAGAGCCATGACTAGAAAACACAAGGAGGACATGGAAAGAGTGCTGTGAAAAGGTGGGTGGAAATTGTAATCAACGGCACAAAACATAAGAGGTAACAACTGTTGTTGCTGTTAAGTGCCAACCCGTGAATGGAAAACCCATTTTCTCTATAAACTTTAATTTGAATCACAATAAAAAAAATTTTTTTAAGTAGCATACATTCTTAATCCAATCTCTCACTCTTTTTAAAAGAAATGACTGTTAACACATGAAGCACAGGTCTTGTCATTGTTAACTTGCTCTCCAAGCTTTTCAGTTCTGGTCTCTGCTTTTGAATTGTGACAAACCCAATCTAGAATCATTGAACGACTGCCTACCCATTACTACAATTGTGATTGCCAATCTGAGTTTGAGGAAACGGGAAGAGGTTGTTTAATTACATACTGAGAAGATACCCCTTGTGTATTTAAGCTTATTTATTCGGTTCTGAGTCATTTTCTGTTGCAATGAGCCCACTGTTTTATGTATTCTGTAACATGGCACACCCCATCAAGTTTAAATAAAGCCAAGTATGCTACAAAAGTCCTGTTGCCAGATTACTGTGTTACACACTTTCAATGTTGCTAAATACTTATATATTCATGTCCATAAATATATGCCCTAGAATATACAACTGGTGTTTGCATTAACAGTATCTAATAGACATAAACATACTCTTGATCCTATTGTCCTATTCAAAAACATCATCTTGGAGATCACACCTAGGAGTTTTTATCTGGCTATCTGCTTTCTATGCCTTATACCATTTTTAGAATCCAGATAGATGGTATAGAGCTCTAAGGAATAGTTTTATCAACCCAAAAGCAGACAGTTTGAATCCATCAGGTGCTCTGAGGGAGAAAGGTGGACAACCCCCCCCCCACCCCGTGTAATTGATAGCCTCTGAAAATTCACTGGAGGGTCAGTTGAGTTGGTTCCAACTGTATGACACATAACAATAACCTCTAGAAGATGCTGCATAGTAGTTAAGTGCACAGATTCTGAAATAAAACTTGTGGATCTGACTATCTGACTTTCGCTGACAATCGCACTAGCTGACCTTAGGCACATTATCTTTTGTAGCCTGGGTCTCTTATCATAAAATGGGAGCAATAATCGCCCTAGCACGCAGGATGGTTGCAAGCACTCCGTTGCTTCTAGACATGCAGTGCTCAGAACAATGCTAGCACACAGCAGCCATCACCACTCACCATCATTACCCCGAGAACCGGCAAAAATAAGCGAGCTCAGTTAGGATTCAGTGAGTAGAACAGCATGCTTGATGGAATATCTATCATTAATTTATTAAACATTCATTAAGTGGCTCTGGGAACCCTTGGCACTGGGACAAATTTACTCCCCAAAATGAAAAAACAAAACTGAGCATATCTTCTCAAGGGAGACTATTTCATGAGATGATCTCTTAGCAAATACACTAGATTAATTTACGTTTGCCATTCAGCTGTTCTGACTTGTGTTGCCCCTGGTGTCTCTGAGGATGACTCTGACATGCTCGTGCACCCAGTGCTCGCCTAGGAGAGCTGCACACCCACCAAGAATCAACTGTATTTTTCTTTTAAATATTTTATTCATTTGGTACTGTGAACCAAGTGTACACTTCAACTTTGTTATTAGGTGCCTCAAGTCAAGTACAACTCATAGCAACCTTGTGATCAAAAGATCTGAACCCAGTCCTGTCCTGCGCTATCCTCACACTTCCTGACACACAAGAGCCCATTGCAGCAGTCACCTTGTCAATCCACCAGGTTGAGGGTCTTCCTCTCCTTTGCCGACCCTCCACCCATCACAGCATCATGTCCCTCTTCAAGGAATAGCACCTCCTAGCAACAAGCCCAAAATATGTGTGTCAAAGCCTCATCATTCTTGCCTCCAAAGAGCACTCTGGTTGCACCCTCTCCAAGACGAATCTGTTCAAACAGTATGGATATACTCATAAAATAATAGCAAAAATGAAAATTTTTATGCAAACAAGCTTAAACTTTGCAGAATATTTGATAAAAAGGAACATTTAGAAAGAGCTGTGAAGGAATTAAGTGTGAAACAGCCAACTGTGGAGACTGGAAAATAAGGAGACGAGAGTCTAACATCAAGCTGCTCCCCAAGCATCTTTGAAATGCTACTTTAAAGACACTCAAAGGGGCCACACATGGTTTGTAATCTATATGGGCACGCATAGAAAGGCAAAGTAGGACATGTAGCCACAGAATGAGAATCAAAGAGGACACCTAGGTTTCAAATCAAAAGACGGATTTCTAATAGCACAAAAATAAACCACACACAGGCATGTCATCTGACATCTACAGTTACAGTATATACCTTTTTTTTTTTTTAAATTACTCTCCCCTGAGACATAATAATGTAAGAGAACCTCTGCTGGCAGGTACACGGTGTCTGGGCTGGACAGCGGCACTTCAGGCCTCAAAAGTCAATTCCTGTATGGATCCCTCACCTGTGTGAGAAGAATGTTATCGAAAAGCAGCTGAGTTTCTGACTGATCCTTAGTGATGTCGGCATTGGCATTCATCCCAAACACCTCCGGGGATGGAGTCAGCGGCAGAGTCTTTGTGTACTCGATGTAGCTTTTATGCTGTGAAGATGAAGCCAAAGGGTTAGAAACCAATTGTTCTGGAGAAACCTCTCACAGAAGAGAGGTGATTTTCAGTCCTCGAGTTAACGAGTCAACACGTCCACGTGATTGGACACTGAATGCTTTGCTTTTAGTCTAAGCCAAAGTTAAAAATGTATATATGGACACACAAAGAAAAATGTACTGTTCAATTGGAATAGGTTTTAAAAGAAAAGAAGCCTACTAACTTACAGATTTCCTGCAGAGAAATCTTCCTCAATTTTATTGATAATTCATTTATTTTCACAATAAAAAGAAATGTTTCTGATGAGCAAGTTTACTTTTTTTAATACTAGTTTATTTATAAAATTTGAATACATTGATTTGGAGAACAGATTCTTCCAATTTCCCTCACCCCTCTACCTATCAAATTGTACAACTCCATGAGTAATACACAACCTCCTCCCACACAACCTCATCCCTCTGCTTCCACACTCTCCCACCCCCCTTATACTCATTCTACAATAAAGGTTTTATTCAATATTCAAGTTTACTTTTATTGTGAAAATTCATCCAATTTATAGAAATACAAGTTATCTGAAATTTTATATTGAGATAACCAGTATTAACAGTTGTAATCTTTTTATAAACATAGTGGTGTTATTTACTTAAAAGTCTACAGGAATTCCACACTTTTCCTTATGTTCATAGAATCAGAAATATCTGCATACATATAAGGCAGAGGGCGGAGGGGCCGTCAAAGATTTCCTTGACTCTCCTTGTTGAGCTGTTCTACTCAACTATAGCCTAAGTGATGGGAATGGACTTCTCCTTGATCCCTACCAACGTCTGCCTTCAGCACTCATCCAAGCGAATGGTGGGGTTAGGGTACTTATCTTCGTTGAATGTGCCCTTTTGATTTCTGAGAATAAAACAAGAATGGATTTGAATGTCCTTCTGTACCCAAGAAGCCTATGATGTGATTATTTGAAGGCAAATCTTAAAAGAAAAGTGCAAGAAGTGTAGGGGGGAACCTAGGCTTGGTGCCATAGATGGTTCTCTGAGTTCTCTGCCACTTCATTGCTTTAGGCCTTGAAGAAATCATTGAGTGTTAGCAAACCTACTTTCCTAACTATAAGAAATAGAATAAACCAATACTGTTAATTCAGTGCTCTATTGAGGTAGTGTAATTGTTTTGTAAATAACTGAGCATAATGTAAATATTTGGAAGCTCTGTCTTCCAGGTCAGACCCAGCAAAATCCGGCCAGAGAGGGAGGGTAGGAGGCGTCACTGGGCAAGGTCACCTCGGATAACAGCAAAAGGAGGCATCTTCCAGGTCAGACCCAGCAAAACCCGGCGGGCCCTCGGGAGAAAGGAAAACATAATCTACACAGGAGTTCTACAGGACACGTCAACTT